TTCCAATGTTCATTAACCAATCATTGCACTAATTATTGGAACGCCTGCTCAAACAGCCAGGTCTTCACTTTTTTGCCGAATACCATTAGAGCTGGTGCTAGTCTAATGTCCGTAGGAAGGGCGTTCCACAGCCGAGGAGCCACCACCGAGAAGGCTCTATCTCTCGTCCCCGCCAGCCGTGCTTGAGAAGCAGGCGGGATCGAGAGCATTTGATTTTGTCATGTTTGGAAGCAGAGGAGAATTTATTTCCATGCCAGGAAGCAAGATAGAAATCGTTTATTTATCTTTATTTATTATTTATTTACTACATTGACATGTAATGTATTACATTTACATGTAATGTTTCGTTTTTGCTTTTTGTCAATGTATGTGTTCTGTCGCCGCTGGAGCTGAAATGAGGTGCCTTTAAGAGAGGATGTATGGCTTGGATCCAGCGGGAAACCAGGGCCCCCGAAAAGAAGCCTTTAGAGAAATTTCCCTTATTAAACAGTCTCTATGAGGCTTGAGCTTAAATATAACAGTTCTTTATTAATGAACAAACAGGAATTGTAAATCTTTCTTAACAGCCTCTTGGCTCTTGCAATCTTGTTCACAGGGAACAGGCACTATCTTCAAAAACCTTGTTTAAAGGAAAATTCCCCTTTATAACTCCTCCCAGGCTGCTGTGAACCTAAACCTTATTAATGTGGATTCACTACCGGGCTGAACTACGTCTCAACGCCGAGTGAACCTATCAAAAGGCTTGTAAATTATATCAAGCCGCTTTTAGGAGGATCTCCCCAGCTGAGGATATCCCGAGGGCCGCACCAAAGAGGGTCCCTGAACCTTGGTGAGGGCAGCAAAGCCAATTCCAGCAGCAGAAAATATTAAAATAATAAATCCTCACCAAAGCGGAAGAAGTCGGCGACCAAGGTGTCTTTATTAGCGATTCAGCTGAGATCGGATGCAAATGTAGGGATATTTCCACTACAAGCATACCACTACGGAATTTACAGGCATTTTTATAGAGAAAATACAGGAAAACATTTTGAATTTCCCGCCCGCCTGTGTCCGCCCGGCTTCACGCTGATTGGTTGACAGCCTGAACAGCTGGGAGGAGGCTTGGCGGCCCGCCTCACTCTAGGCCAATCAGCAAGCTTCTCTGCCTCTGAGGAGCCAATCGGCGCGCTTCTCTCGCCTCCGAGGATGGACGAATCAGAAGAGAGAAGGCGGGACGACCGCGGACAATGGGGGAAATGATGGGATTATTGCTAGCCGGCCAGCTGTAATTTGATTCATTGTTTTGGCCAGCAAAGTGTGATGTTTCTCAATAAAGGTTTTCCTGTCCCGGATCAGATAAGGAGTGTCCTTAATGGGTTTTGGCAGAAGGAACAAACAGAGTCAGGACAGGGGACCCCGGGGGTTGTTCTTGTCCCTTTGTAATTCAATCAAAATGTTCAGAGAGACTTCCTTGCCCGCCAGACAAACTCAGAGAGTGGGCAGAGGAAATCTCAACTTGTTATTATCCATGCAGATGTAGAATAATCAAGTAAGTTTCGAGGGAGGCGGTGGTCCTCCCTCAGGCATTTCAACAGTCCTTGGTCATATTTTTCTAGGACAAAAGTCAGGGGGCAAATCAAGAGGGCAAGCAACATTTCATATACATTTCATCAATACATTTCATATAGAAAAGATCCCGTCCCCATCCCAGATATTTAATAATAATAGTCATCTTTTTTATTTGAAAACTTGGATCTTCCTGGAAAGAGTTCATAGAAGTGGACGCGGCTTGCCGTTCAAAACAAGCAGCAGAAAGTTATACTTTTTTGGCAGAAGTCAACAGGACAGTCTTTGAGTTGTTTGGTAACAAAGTTCATGGCTTGGTCCTTGGGGAACTATAACTCCTTCCCAAGGACTGGGCCTCCTGCCCGGCCCCCTCTCCGAGGTCTCCTGGGGGCAGCCGCAGCAAGTCCCCGGTTGTGGAGCGAGGAGAAATGAGCTGTTTGTGCGGAGCTGGCGAAATTTGACAATCAGCTGTTTTCTGTCAAATTATATTCTTTAAAACAAAAAGATTATTTCCCGGGCGTAGGGATCCAAAATGAGAAAAGCAAGATAGCAGTTTGGTTAAGAATTTAGCACAGAAAAATATGGCATTGAAACGGGGCCGATCCACCATTTTAATATTTTAGCGGATACGGAGATCCGAAAGGGAGATTTCCGTATCCGCGGTTCCAATTGACGCAGATTCGGCCTCCCCGGGATGCCAGAAAGGCATCCCAGGCAGGCCCACGGTTCCCCGGAGCCTGGAAATAGGTTTGTTTCATGCTTTGGTTAGCTTAGGCAGTGAAGGACACAAAGTATCAAGCAGAAAGGTTAAAAAGTTGCAATTTTCAAGTACCTTTATTGGGGATTAGTTACAAAGTCAGGGCTTGGGGGAAAGTGATAAAAGGCTGAATGCAGTCCTAGTTTTGAGCTGTCTGCTGGGGCACATTTCATCAGTTGGTCCCAAATTTGGCTCCCAGGAACTGCGGAACTCTCAGCTGCAGTTTATACCAATTTGAAGGCGGGGGCCTCCGCCGCTCTCGGGGTCATAATCGCTTAGCTGCTTTGATGGTTAGAGCTGTTATTCCCTCCGGAATTCCTCAGGGCTGTAAGGCTGTTTCCCCGGAACCTTTGGGACTCTTTAGAGGCTCTCAAGACTGTTCTCCCCCGGAAAGTCTTAAGGGACGAAGCCTTTGCACAGGAGGACATCTGTATACATCCTCTGCATTAACTTCCTTTGCTGAGACTAACTGAAAAATGGCCCCTTCCCTCCAAAAAACCCAGAGAGGGGCGGGACCAGGGATCCTAACTATTATTGACAGGTGGCTTGCCCTATGAATGCAGCCAAAGGAAGCCACCTATCTGCAAAGTCCCTGCAACTTTTTGCTTGATGTTCAGGCAATGCTTGTTGTAGGTCAGAGCACGGTCCAGAGTTGGAGCACGGTTGAAGAGAGTCTTCAGCCTCAGCAAGATGGAGTGGATGAGGGATTGGAGGACATCCAACCCCAAATTGGGAAAGAAGTCGTCCAGGAATACCTGGCCACTCTAAATGAGTTCAAGTCCCCAGGGCCAGATCAACTACACCCAAGAGTATTGAAGGAACTAGCGGAAGTCATTTCGGAACCATTGGCAATCATCTTTGAGAGTTCTTGGAGAACGGGAGAAGTTCCAGCAGATTGGAGGAGGGCCAATGTGGTCCCAATCTTCAAGAAGGGAAAAAAGGATGACCCAAACAACTACCGTCCGGTCAGCCTCACGTCGCTACCGGGCAAGATTCTGGAAAAGATTGTTAAGGAAGCGGTCTGCAAACACTTAGAAACAAATGCAGTCATCGCTAATAGTCAACATGGATTTATCAAAAACAAGTCATGCCAGACTAATCTGATCTCTTTCTTCGATAGAGCTACAAGCTGGGTAGATGCGGGGAATGCCGTGGATGGAGCGTACCTGGATTTCAGGAAGGCCTTCTTTGACAAGGTCCCCCATGACCTTCTGGCAAGGAAACTAGTCCAATGTGGGCTAGGCAAAACTACGGTGAGGTGGATCTGTAATTGGTTAAGTGTACGAACACAGAGAGTGCTCACTAATGCTTCCTCTTCATCTTGGAAAGAAGTGACAAGTGGAGTGCCGCAGGGTTCCGTCCTGGGCCCGGTCCTGTTCAACATCTTTATTAATGACTTAGATGAAGGGTTAGAAAGCAAGATCATCAAGTTTGCAGATGACACCAAATTGGGAGGGATAGCCAATACTCCAGAGGACAGGAGCAGGATTCAAAACGATCTTGACAGATTAGAGAGATGATGGGCCAAAACTAACAAAATGAAGTTCAACAGGACAAATGCAAGATACTCCACTTTGGCAGGAAAAAAGAAATGCAAAGATACAGAATGGGGGACAATGCCTGGCTCGAGAGCAGTACGTGTGAAAAAGATCTTGGAGTCCTCGTGGACAACAAGTTAAACATGATCCAGGAATGTGATGTGGCGGCAAAAAAAGCCAATGGGATTTTGGCCTGCATCAATAGGAGCATAGTGTCTAGATCCAGGGAAGTAATGCTCCCCATGCTCTATTCTGCTTTGGTTAGACCACACCTGGAATATTGTGTCCAATTCTGGGCACCACAATTCAAGAGAGATATTGACAAGCTGAAATGTGTCCAGAGGAGGGCGACTAAAATGATCAAGGGTCTGGAGAACAAGCCCTATGAGGAGCGGCTTAAGGAGCTGGGCATGTTTAGCCTGAAGAAGAGAAGGCTGAGAGGAGATATGATAGCCATGTATAAATATGTGAGAGGAAGCCACAGGGAGGAGGGAGCAAGCTTGTTTTCTGCTTCCCTGGAGACTAGGACACAATGGAACAATGGCTTCAAACTACAAGAGAGGAGATTCCATCTGAACATGAGGAAGAACTTCCTGACTGTGAGAGCCGTTCAGCAGTGGAACTCTCTGCCCCGGAGTGTGGTGGAGGCTCCTTCTTTGGAAGCTTTTAAGCAGAGGCTGGATGGCCATCTGTCGGGGGTGGTTTGAATGCAATATTCCTGCTTCTTGGCAGGGGGTTGGACTGGATGGCCCATGAGGTCTCTTCCAACTCTTTGATTCTATGATTCTATGATTCTATGACTCCCAGGTATTTGGGTGCGCTGCAATGCTCCAGTGGGATTCCTTCCTTCCCAGGTAATCATCCTCAGAGCTCGGGATGCTTGTCTGTTCTTAAGGTGAAAGGCACATGTATGTGTTTTAGATGGGTTGGGGATCAGCTGGTTTTCCCTGTAATAGGCAGTAAGGGCACCTAGAGCTTTGGAGCTTCTTTGTGCGCATGCGTCGTCTCAAGTGGCGAGCATGGGGAAAGGGGGCGTGGCAAGGTCTGGCTTCCTCCCTGCGCATGCGTAGTCGTCACTTGAGGGCACGGAGAAAGGGGGCGTGGCGGGGCCTGGCTTCCTTTTTTGCGCAAGCGCAGTCGCAACTCGAGCACACGGGAAAGAGGGGGCGTGGCGAGTTTGCGCATGCGCGTCCGCAAGGTGGCAAGGAAGGCGCACGCGGCTGAGGGAGAGATTCTCTGAGGGGGAAAAAAAGGAAAGATGGAGCGTGGCCACGAAGAAGAAGAGGACGCAGGCCCAAGCTCGGTGAGATCCGGAGTCCTGTCTCCCCTTTCTTTACCTCCTCCTGAAGTTGTGTCGCTTGGTGGGCGGATTCACACGTGTTTCCATTGACACGTGTTTCCCCAGACACGTGTCTTGAGGGGAGGGGGCATCCTGAGAGCGACTCTCTCGTGTCACCCATAGCCTTGGCTATTGTAGGGAGGATCCTGGGAGATAGAGCCCTCCACCTTCCCTGGGAGTTGTAGTTTTCGCAAGGCCTTGAGCCTTCTCTGTCAGAGGGATGGCCTCTTGTCAAACTACAACTCCCAGGAGCCCAGAGCAATGAGTTCACATGGGTTTGGACTACATGCGTTCTACAGTATATGTGTATATGTATATGCATATGTGTGTGTGTGTCTGTGTGTGTATATATATACACATATATACACATAGCCTTCATATCTCATGAAACTACAGCTCCCAGGAGCCCAAAGCACTGAGTTCACAGGGATTCGGACTACATGCGTTCTACAATATATGTATATGTATATATGTATATGGATGTGTGTGTGTGTGTGGATATATACACACACACCCAGCCAGCCTTCATATCTCATGAAACTACAACTCCCAGGAGCCCAAAGCACTGAGTTCAATGGGTTCGGACTACATGTGTTCTACAATATATGTATATGTGTGTGTGTATATATATAATATATATATATATATATACACACACACACACACATATACACACATAGCCTTCATATCTCATTAAACTACAACTCCCAGGAGCCCAAAGACCTGAGTTCACATGGGTTCGGACTACATGCGTTCTACAATATATGTATATGTATATATGTATATGGATGTGTGTGTGTGTGTGTGTGGATATACACACACACACCCACCCAGCCTTCATATCTCATGAAACTACAACTCCCAGGAGCCCAAAGCACTGAGTTCAATGGGTTCGGACTACATGTGTTCTACAATATATGTATATGTGTGTGTGTATATATATAATATATATATATATATATACACACACACACACACATATACACACATAGCCTTCATATCTCATTAAACTACAACTCCCAGGAGCCCAAAGACCTGAGTTCACATGGGTTCGGACTACATGTGTTCTACAATATATGTATATATGTATATGCATATAAGTGTGTGTGTATACACACACACACACACACACACACACACACATATACACACATAGCCTTCATATCTCATTAAACTACAACTCCCAGGAGCCCAAAGACCTGAGTTCACATGGGTTCGGACTACATGCGTTCTACAATATGTGTGTGTGTGTGTATACACACATATACACAGCCTTCATATCTCATGAAACTACAACTCCCAGGAGCCCAAAGCACTGAGTTCAATGGGTTTGGACTACATTTATTTATTTATTTATTTATTATTTATTTACTTTGCTTATATACCGCTGTATCTCAAGCCCGAAGGCGACTCACAGCGGTTCACAAACAGTAAAAACAGTAGAAACAGCAGTGGTTCCATGCAACATATAACAATTGACTTAACACATTATCCATAAATTAACAATAAGCAATTACAATGCACAATTATTACGAAAAACAACCGTACCCAATCTTCTCATCATCCAAGCGTAGTCCAGGTTCGTCGTCCATTGTTCCATTCCTATGTTCCATTACCAGATTGCACTAAATTACTCAAACGCCTGCACAAACATCCAGGTCTTCACCTTTTTGCGGAATACCATTAGAGATGGTGCTAGTCTAATGTCCGTAGGAAGGGCGTTCCTTCATATCTCATCAAACTACAACTCCAGGAGCCCAAAGCACTGAGTTCACATGGGTTCAGACTACATGCGTTTCTACTATATAATATATATATATATATATATGCATATGTGTGTATATATATATGTGTGTGTGTGTGTATATATATAATACACACACACATACACACACAGCCTTTATATCATGAAGCTACAACTCCCAGGAGTCCATAGCACTAAGCCCTGGCGGTCCAACCGCATTCTCTCATATATATATATATATATATATATATATATATATATATGCATCATAACTTACTTAGGTGATCTCTCGTAGTCTGAGGATGATAGTCCTCCATGCATTTTGCAATAAGGTGGGCAGCCACCTTATTGCAAAATGCATGGAACTTTGGAATACATGCAAACACTCAATAGAAAGGAAAATAAGTTGGAGCTCCTGGTACAGCCGTACCAGCACAAAATGCATGAAATAAATAAATGAATAGGTTGATGCATAACTGCAAATCCTTCCTTCCTTTTAGTTTATTATTATTTATTTGTTTACCATATTCACATCCCACCTTTCTCACCCTGGATGGGGACTCATGCCTGCTGTCACCTGTCGCCAGACTTTCCTCAAGGAGCAGGAAGCAGAGAGCGATGATTGGACGGACAGCGAAGAAAGCGTCTTCTCTGGACTCGAGGATTCTGGGAGTGACAGCCTCACAGAGGAAGAGGAGGAGGAGGAGGAAGACCAGAGCAGCGGAGTCGAGGAGAATCCAGATGCCCTGTTGTCTTCTGAGAAGACTAAAGTAAGTGTATTATTATTATTATTATTTTGATTTATCTCCTGCTTTTTCTTTCTTAGAAGAGATTCAAAGATTCAAAAGTTGTAGAATGTCACAGTACGGAAAGCCCTCCATATATATTCACTGGGTTTATGGAATCAGGACTTCTGCAAAAGTCATTTCCTAATTGGTTCTATCATTACAAACATGGAAAAAGCCTATTAAACTGCCAAAACCTTGTTTCTGTGGGAGAGACTTCCTGCTGAAGCACAGTTTGTGATCGTTTTCTAGTGAATATCTCATCATAGAATTGCAACCAATTCAGCCTAGTTTGTGGCAACCACAATAACAAAGTTTTTGGAGTAGAGTAACTACTTTCAAAGTAAGGACCACACAATTAAACAAGAAATAACACTTTCAAACTAAGAACATATTTTTTCCAAATTTTGTTACATAGTGTTATCTTGTCTTCCATAGTCGTTTTTTAAATTTCTTCTCCTCATTTCACCACTTTAGAACCTACTTGACTTATTTTTCCAAGCAGGGCAAACCATCCCTCTGATCCTTGTTTGTTTGTTAAAGTTGTTGTTATTATTATTTGAAACACAACAAGACACTGCTGGCTGTTGTATTGGATCACACGTCGGACACTTCCCAAGTGTCTAGGCGAATCGGCAAATAATGCGTGCAGATCCCAGTAAGGTGACCTTCTGCAGCTGACAGATTGTAATCTTGTCCACTCTGATTGTGTTTAAGTGCAGGCCAAGGTCTTTAGGCACTGCACCCAGTGTGCCGATCACCATTGGGACCACCTTGACAGGCCTGTGCCAGATTCTTTGCAGTTCAGTCTTTAAATCCTGTATTGTTGTTGTTGTTGTTATTATTATTATTATTGACACAAAAGCACACTATGTCACAGCAAACGAGATCTATATGCTGGATTTCATATCACAAAATCACAAGTCGAACACTTCCCAAGTGTCTAGGACTGTGTGATGTATTTTCGAATGATGTGCGCAGATCCAAGTAAGGTGGCCTTTTGCAGATGACAGATTGTGATTTGGTCAATGTTTATTATTATTATTATTATTATTATTATTATTACTATAGATTATTATTATTATTAGAAACACAACAAGATGGGTCCACAGCGGACACTCTGCTGGCTGCTGTATTGCATCACATATCGGACACTTCCCAAGTGTCAAGGACTGTGTGATGTATTGGCGAATAATGTGTGCAGATCCCGGTAAGGTAGCTTTTTTGCAGCTGGCAGATGGTAATCTTGTCAGTGCCAATTGTGTTTAAGTGCAGGCCAAGGTCTTGAGGCACTGCACCCAGTGTGCCGATCACCACTGGGACCACCTTGACTGGTTTGTGCCAGAGTCTTTGCAGTTAGATCTTTAAATCCTCATATCGTGTCAGATTATTATTATTATTATTATTATTATCATCATCATTTGAAACACAACAAGATGAGTCCACAGCAGACACTCTGCTGGCTGTTGTATTGGATCACACGTCGGACCCTTCCCAAGTGTCTAGGACTGTGTGATGTATCAGCGAATAATGTGTGCAGATCCCAGTAAGGTGGCCTTTTGCAGCTGGCAGGTGGTAATCTTGTCAGTGCCAGTTGTGTTTAAGTGCAGGCCAAGGTCTTTAGGCACTGCACCCAGTGTGCCGATCACCACCGGGACCACCTTGTCTGGCTTGTGCCAGAGTCTTTGTAGTTTGATCTTTAAATCCTCATATTGTGTCAGCTTTTCCAGTTGTTTCTCTTCAATCCCACTGTCACCTGGGATTGCAACATCAACAATCCATACTTTGTTGTTTAACACGATGGTGAGTTCAGGAGTGTTGTGCTCCAAAACACTGTCAGTCCGAATTCAGAAGTCCCAGAGGAGCTTGACATGTTCGTTTTCTGCAACTTTTTTCTGGCTTGTGATCCCACCAGTTCTTTGTCGCAGGCAGATGGCACAAGTTCCAATGAATCATCTGAGCAACGGTGTTGTGCCTCTGCTTGGAGTCTGTCTGCGCGATTATCTTTCAGCAGCTGAGGATGGGATCCATTGTTTCGTCTTCTTCATAGTTATGGGAGTTGTCATTTTGCAAGGTCTTATTATTTGAAACATAACAAGATGAGTCCACAGCAAACAAGATCACTCTGCTAGCTGTTGTATTGGATCCCACGTTGGACACTTCCCAAGTGCCTAAGACTGAATGATGTATCTGCAAATAATGCATGCAGATCCCAGTAAGGTGACCTTTTGCAGCTGGCAGGTGGTAATGTTGTCAGTGCCAATTGTGTTTAAGTGCAGGTCAAGGTCTTGAGGCACTACGCCCAGTGTGGCGATCACCACTGGGACCACCTTGACTGGCTTGTGCCACTGTCTTTGCAGTCCGATCTTTAACTCCTCGTATCGTGTCAACTTTTCTAGTTGTTTCTCTTCAATCCTGCTGTCACCTGGGATTGCAACATCCACAATCCATACTGTGTTTTTTAATACAATTGTGTGGTCATTAATATTATACTCCAAAACTCTGTCTGTCTGAATCCAGAAGTCTCAGAGGAGTTTGGCATGTTCATTCTCTGTCACTCTTTTCGGCTTGTGATCCCACCAGTTCTTTGTTGCAGGCAGATGGTGTTTGTGGCACAAGTTCCCTGTTTAAGGAGCTCCATTGGCTGCCATTCATTTTCTGGCCCAATTCAAGGTGCAGGTTCTTACCTACAAAGCCCTGAACAGTTTGGGACCTGCCTATCTACGTGACCGCATCTCTGTATACAAACCCACACGATCTCTTCGATCATCTGGAGAGGCCCTACTCACGTTCCCACCTGCATCGCAAGTACATTTGGTGGGGACGAGAGAGAGGGCCTTCTCGGTGGTGGCCCCTCAACTCTGGAACTCAATCCCTAAGGACATCAGGCATGCCCCATCTTTGGCAGTCTTCAGGAGGAGCTTGAAAATGTGATTGTTCCAGTGTGCCTTCCCAGAATAATGAACCCTTAGCAATATGTCCCCCAAAAGCACTTTACATTGATTTAGGACTGTATTTTTCCAGCAACGCCCCATCTCCTGCAACTTGTCCATGCCCAGCAATATTTTTTAAACTTCAATTACATTTGGCCCAGCCATAGTTTTAAATGTGCACTGTACCTTGTTTAATGTTTATGCTATTTGTGTATGTGATTTATTTTTAATTTCTTTGCATTATACCTGTTATTGCTTGTATTGTTTGTATTGCGGGCTCGGCCTCATGTAAGCCGCACCGGGTCCCTTGGGGAGATGGTAGCGGGGTATAAATAAAGTTTTTTAAATTACTATTTCAATGAATCATCTGAGCAACGGTGTTGTACCTCTGCTTGTAGTCTGTCTGCGTGATCTTATTATTACTATTATTATGTGTTTAGTACCGTGCTGAAAGGCCATGTGGTGGAATGTCCCAATCTCCCATCAGAGCAAGCTGTCCAGGTTATGCTTCCTGTTTTTCTCTAGGACATGAATTCCCTGTTCAAAGAGGGGGTGATATGACATATTCCACCCCAGCTTCTCAGAGCTGGCTAATATTTCCAAATGGAATTGGAAAGGTTGTCAGTGCTCCATTCTGGATCTCCGAGGTGAAGTAAAGAGGTTCCAAATGGTCATCATTTCTTCCATCTTGCTTTTCATAAGGAAAGAGGATTGTCTTGATACTATGGACTGTCATAACCTCTCTTTCTGCATCTCCAGCCATCAAGGTTTCCTGTGTTTCTCCGTAGCAGATGAGGCCTACCGATGCCCTTTGGGAGGTCCTCTGTTCCAAGGCATTTCACTAAGTGCATGGCAATGGGGGCAATTCACTTCTCTGGTATTGTTACTAGCCGTCCCCTGCCAGGCGGTGCTGTGGCCCAGTCTGGTGATCTGGAAAATAAAGTAATGGAAAGTGTTGGTTTCTAATATATGTAATGTCTTTCTGCTTGCGGGTAAACAGTATTTCTTGTTGTTTATTTGTCAGTGTTCATGTGGAGAGTGTCTGGTTTGCTTCCTCTGGAATATGCAACATATCATTGTCCTTCTTTCAGGGTCCCTTTCAAATCTATGATACTATATCTCTCTGTGTGTGAATTATATATATATATATGTGTGTGTGTGTGTGTGTGTGTGTGTGTGTATATATATGTGTGTGTGTGTGGCTGGATGGCTTTTTGTCAGGAGAGCTTTGTTTACGTTTTCTCGCCCTGGTGAAGAGAGTTGGACTGGATGGCCTTAAGTATTTTCTGTTGGTCATGAGGCTTCTGTGTGGGAAGTTTGCCCCAATTCTGTCGTTGGTGGGGTTCGGAAAACTCTTTGATTGTATGTAGGTGAACTATAAACCCCAGTAACTACAACTCCCAAATGTCAGGGTCTATTTCTCCCAAATGCAATCTCAGTTCACATTTGGACGTATGGATTATTCATGCCAAGTTTGGTCCAGATCCATCATTGTTTGAGTCCACAGTGCTCTCTGGATGTAGGTGAACTACAACTCCAAAACTCAAGGTCAATGCCCACCAAATCCTTCTAGTGGGAGGACAATAGCTTTATAAACATGCACCTTGGTCTCCCTAGTTATGTCCCAGTCCTCAAACACTCTGTGCTTCATTTGGAAGAATGCTGCACTTGCAGAGCTCAGGCGGTGTTGAATTTCAGTGTCAATGTTGACTTTGGTGGAGAGGTGGCTGCCAAGGGAGTGGAAATGGTCCACATTTTCTAATGTTACACCATTAAGCTTATTTCTGGCATTGGAGGGGGATTGGCCATAGAGTTCGAAGAGACCACAAGGGTCAACTAGTCCAGCCCCCTGCCACTCAGAAAAACGCAATCAAAACACCCCTGATAGATGGCCATCCAGCCTCTGCTTAACAGAAACTTATTTTTCTAACCATCAAATCGAGGATGTTCCTGAGTACCTTAGCCCCTCAATGGAGAAAGATCTGGGATCTCCCAAGGACTGTGCAATGTTAATCTTCCTGGGATTGTGGCCTGCATCAAGAGGAGCCTAGT